ATTTCGACTGTTAACAGCTGATTTTTTTCGGCCATTAACATCCGAATTTTCAGCTGTTTGTGCTGATTATTTTTTCGTAATAGTAGTTTTATTTGTTAACTAAAAGGGTAGTATTGTCTTTTTAACACAAACATGTTTTGTAATTGTTTTAGTAATTTAAGGGCGTTTTTGTCTTTTTACAACAAATGGGTCATTTTGAAAATATGGTTAAGTACAAAAGTCAAAGTGGAAATAAGCTCCTTTGACTAGGTCATTTTTAAAAGCACCCCCTTAAACCGTAGGGTTTTTTGCTAAATGGTCCTCCTTTTTAGTTAATTTTTTTTATTTTACACTTTGTATTAATAACATTTTAATCAAACCTTTTAACTTGCCAAATTTTAATTTAAATTAGACATTTTATGAGACTCGCAAATTTTATTAACTTTTCAACTATACATTTTATCAAAATTTGTTAAAATTTGTATTCAAAACTTTATCTTACAGCCGTTACATTTTTTCTTTTTCTTTTTTTTTCAATCCATGCAAAGTGACTTTTTTTTGTCAGTTTTAAAAATGATCTCTTTCACTTCGACTAGATTTTGTATGTTCAACTCTTCAAGATTATTCGAGATGCTCCACAATTCACCATTCAATTGGTTTCACATAATTTGTGTACATGTTGATATTGTGTTTCTACTTACTCCATTAATTTTTTTTTTTTTTATCACACATCGATGTTGTTTTATTTATATATCGTACATTTATTTGGGGGTTAAAAGGAAGTACACATACAAGCAATAAAAATATCAATCCAACTATTTGTATAACTTTTGTTGACAATCTTGGTGTTATCAAAAATTGGGTTACTAATTTAAAAAATAATTTTAAAATAGATGAATGTGATGTTGTCAGTGTGAAGTTGTCAACCAAAATTGTACAAATAACATGATTTTAAAAATATAGAACACTTTTCAAATTAATAAAAAGAGGGATGATTGTAGCAGAGGTCCCAAACTTTTCAAATAGTAGCAGATTTTTCCTAACTTTTCATTCGTTATAAGCGTCACCCTAACCTTTCAAAATGTTGTGGCTGAGACTCAAATAGATGGATTTTATCCAAATGTCTGTTAGTTGACAAAGAAATTGTGTTTGACCACACTTTTAATATATTTTGTAAAGGGTAAAATAGTA